ACTGTAGAGGACTACGGACAAATTTTAATCAAATACAGCTATTAATCCAGTATTTAACACAATCAGCGTTCTGTCTGCAAGAGACGTATCTGAAACAGACAGATGATTTTAGCTTACGTCAGTTTGAAACCTATCATTATTTTTCCCCTCTGGGTGATAGGGCCACTGGAGGTTCTACTATCCTTATACGAAAGGATGTTATTCACAGCCCTGTTACACTTAACACTAATCTCCAAGTTGTTGCAGTGCGACTTACTCTGGGTGTAGCATTTACATTATGCTCTCTTCCGCCTTCATCGGCACTTCAGCAGACTGATCTTCAATCACTCTATTATCAACTCCCGAAGCCATGTGTTATCATGGGTGACCTAAACGGTCACAACCCGCTCTGGGGCAGTACTAACACTAATACTAAAGTAAACATACTGGAACATTTCATTTCCAATAATGACCTGTGCATATATAATGATGATTCAAGCACCAATCTGCATCCTGCAACTGGCACTTATTCTTCTCTGGATTTGTCTCGTTCAGATTCTAACCTCCTGAAGGAATTTGATGGGTCTGTTCATAATGACCTTTGTGGAAGTGACCACTTCCCAACTATCCTTTCAAAAATATTTCCATCTGATTCTCCATCGTATACAAGATGGAACTTTTCAAAGGCTAACTGGTCTTTATCTCAAACTATATGTAAATCGAAACCTCGACCGGGATGTTTCAGTGATGCAACTGATCCCATTCAGAGTTTTGCTGACGTTTTGAATGAAATAGCTGATGAGTGTATACCAAAGTCCTCTACGGTCCCAAATGTACGAAAACCATGGTTTAATACAGATTGTAGACAAGCCAGAAAAGCGAGGAAAAAGGCAGAGCATTTTTTACGCCATCATCTAACAGTCCATAAGTTAAGTAAATTTAAAATACTCAATGCAAGGGCTCGTCGTTCCTTCAAACAAGACAAACGGAATTCTTGGAGAACTTATGTCTCCACAATAAATCCACGTATGCCTATGTCTAAGGTGTGGAACATGGTTCAGAGAATAAAAGGCAAAGGTTCAAAATCAGCTGTACACCATCTTAAAGATGGCGATAATTTAATAACGTAGAAACTTAAAATTGCAAATAGAATTGGCGTAACTCTTGCCAAAAATTCATCATCGGCAAATTATGTCCCTGAGTTTCAGAGATATCAGAAACAACAAGAATAGACAAAACTAAATTTCGAATCAAATAACGGTGACGATTATAATGAAGTGTTTTCATTACAAGAGCTACATACTGCCCTTGAGCAAGCTCATGATACTGCAGCGGGTGATGACAATATACATTACCAGCTACTGAAACACTTACCTGAACCATGTCTAATGACACTTTTAGATATATTTGACCAAATATGGGCGCCTGGGGAATTTCCTCCTTGATGGCGTAATGCCACTGTAATCCCAATACCAAAACCTGCACGAGATCATACAGATCCATCGAATTACAGACCTATATCTCTCACCAGCTGTGTCTAATAAAAAAAATATAAAAAATGGTGAATATAGATTAACTTGGTATCTTGAAATCAACAACCTTATATCAAATATCCAATGTGGTTTTCATTAACAATCGTAGTACCATTGATCATTTGGTACGTTTAGAATCCTTTGTTAAAATGCAATAGTAACTAAACAACATGCAGTATCAATTTTCTTTGATCTCGAGAAAGCTTATGATACAACATGGAAGCATGGCATTTTGAAGGATTTACATGATTTTGGTTTGAGGGGTCGTTTACCTCTTTTTATATCACATTTTTTTAAGAAACAGACAATTTCAAGTCCGAGTGGGTTCAACCCTCTCTGCGAATTACAATCAGGATCAGGGTGTCCCACAAGGCAGTATTTTGTCTGTCATTTTATTTAGTATCAAGATCAACAATTTATCCAAGGTTTTAAACGATTCAATCGATGGATCATTATTTGTGGATGATTTTATTATTTCTTGTCGTGGTAAACATATGCATACTATTGAACAGCAATTGCAGTTGTGTTTAAATATAATAAATAAATGATGTCCTGAAAATGGCCTCAAAACCTAATTGTCTAAACTTTTGTAGAAAAGCAGCATAGGGACCCAGAATTATCTTCTGACTAGGAGGTCAAATCCTTGGGTCGAATTTTCGATTCTCATTTAACCTTCTTGCCACACATTAAATCCCTAAAAGTTAAATGCCTGAAGGCACTAGATTCGTTAAAGGTTGTTTCAAATTCAAAGTGGGGAGGGGATCAAACTACCCTCCTTCACTTATACAGATCATTGGTGCGATCTAAACTTGATTATGGCTCCATCGTATACGGTGGAGCCTGCAAATGCAACCTAAAACTACTTGATTCTGTCCTCCACCAAGGCCTAAAACTTTGTCTTTGGTCTTTTAGAACGTCTCATGTTGACAGTCTCTATGTTGAGGCCGATTAGCCATCCCTTAACCAACGCCGTATAAAATTATCCTTACAGTATACAACAAAACTACATTCTAACGAGTCTAATCCTGCATTTAACTATTTTTTAAATCCACTTTATGAGGATCTGTATAACCAAAACATCTTCTCTTGTTCCACCTCTGGGACTAAGAGTCAAACCTTTGATTTCTGTTGCTGGCATTGAGCTAGAATATATAGCTCCTTCCCGTCTTCTTTCTTCTACTCCTTGGCAATTGGTGAGGCCACACGTTGACCGAACACTGACAAAGTTTACAAAAATGACGATGTGCAGTTTCCCGACATTTCGGCGTTCATCAGAGCATCATAGCTCGCCGTTGGGATCGTTTCCAGCAGACCAATTCCGCACAAAATAGCCCGAGAAGCGGCCGTCCAAGAGTCCACTCACGCCAAGGACCTCTTTATCCAGATTGCCCACCGCATCCCTGGTTGGAGAAGAATTTCCGACCCAGCTGTCAGGAATCGATTGTGTGAAGTGGGGATTCGACCAAGAGGGCCAGTGGCCGCCCCAGTTTGGAGAGACTTCCATCTGCACAATCGCTCGCGAGTCTGGTTTAATGATGAATCACGCTTTCTTCTTCACCGGCACGTTTACCGTCGGAGAAATGAACGTTTTTCCCCAATTGCATTCGACAGATCAAGAGATTCGGTGGAGATAGTTTCAAGATGTGATGTGCGATATCCAGCACATAAAAATCTGTTTTAGAGGCGGTTCAGGGGAATTTGATAGCAAATCGGTACATCAACGAAGTCCGTGCACGCCACATGCTTTCGATTATGGACCGATAGAGTTGTTCCAGCATGTCAAAGCTATTTTACCTACAGCAAGTGTCACGGTCCGTCCGCTATCTTGCCAATTCTAACGTCAATGTCTTGCCATGGCCTTCTAGAGCACCACATCTAAACACCTATGGGATGAACTCGATCGACTTGTACACCGAAACACGCCTCATACACTTTTACAAATGGCCATCGCATTGCTTGAAGAGTGGGGAGGAATTCCACATGAGTGACTTCGTCTACTTATCCGAGACGGTGTCGAGCAGCAATTGCTGCCAGTGATGGCCATACAACGTAATGACTTTGACGCCATCTTGTGGAATCAAATAAAGAGAAACACAACACTAAAGGCTGTTGTTGTGTTGGCGAACTCTGTGTCTATAGACGTGTGATTTTCCATCTATTTACCTTTGAAATTACATGAAACAATTGCTCTTAAACTAACGCAATACATTCTTCTAAAAATTCCTTTTTTGACGAGTGTATAACGAACACAAAAGTACTGAAATATGCAACGTAAGGCGAATATCAACGGTTTGAAGATTAGTATTTAGATGAACACTACTATGAATAAAATCTGTTGTTACTAATAATCTCCGGTTGCTCTATCACCAGGAGGGGAAAATAACTGGTGATATTTGTACTGTTCCCATTACATTGGACAACTAAGTCATGATGGCTCCATCTTAGATCTCCCCCTGAATGTGAGGAGAAACTATTCCTTCTCCTGTCCTGCGAAGACAGTGTAACTTCAATATCTAGAGGTCCAAACGAGTTATGTGTAGGTGAAGGGACGGTGGGTGTTTCTCTTCTATTCAGTTTCTGTCCTTTCTTTTTTATCGAGTGATAAGTCGCTGGTTGTTTAAAAGACGTTCTTGATTTTTCCGTAGACTGAATTTCTGTATATTGAGTAGCTGGGGAAATAGGTAGGTCATTGAAGCCAATGTCAAGACAGTCTGACACAATATAGTTGATGCTACCACATATCGGGACACTGTAACAGAGTAGGTTTTTGTCGATGGATGTGGTTTTTTTAGGTTTAAATATTGTTTTTGCATCTAGGTTCAAAATGTTATTTTGACACTTTAATTTCAGGATTTTGGATTCCTTTTGGACGGGCAGGACTTCGATGATGCAACATGCTCGCCATCACAATTGGAGCGTCTAAAGGTCTTTCAGCCAGCCAGTGCCCTCGTGGTTGTCACTACAACGCCGACACACCCAACGTCATTAAATATATTTTTGTATTCAAGACTTCACCAACTTTCTTGATTTAACTACGGTTGCCATGTCTTTTTCATACATGTCGGACAGGAAGCGAGCCCTGTCCCAACAATGTCTCGACCATTTGGTCGCTTCTTACTACCTGCAATGAGGTTCTGAGGACCTATTCTACCCGATGCACTCGGGGAAGAGAGCTATTGGCATCACCCAGTACACACAACGAAGAGGCTGGTGTTCACCAGACCCGTCTAATCCCTGACCTTCAGTGACAATTTCAAGGACTGTTTGTGGCAAATTTGTTGGAGCCTTTTCATAATGTCGAGGTCATACTTACTATACTATGGGGTATTCGTAATACATACATATTTTCTGAAGTATATTTGACAACAACTGGTATCGTTCTTATGATGTAGAGCGGATACTACACACTCTTGGTTTTCAGGCAAAGGTTACCTCCTACAATAAACGTCTTCCTGTCCATAACGACATCCTAATCCTCGGAAGATGATATCACATTTCCTCGGGCACGGTGACACCAAGGTCATCGGCGAAGACACCGCAGGGGTAGAGGGACACGGCGCTGAAGTCGTACCCTTTCCTTGACAGGAAACCCATCAACTGTGACCAACTTCCTGGTTCCTCAACGTCAAGAACTGAAATGTATTAGAATACGTTGACACCTTTTCATTCTGGATGTTTTACTTGACTGGTAGACAGGTACGTTAGAGTATTGATATATATTGGACTTACCGAGAACAATTCTTGTATTGCCGAGCTCCTGTGAAACAAACAGAAATTAATTAAAATAGCATGAATTCGAGAGTCAATTAGTTTATATCCTTTCATTAAAATAATTTTCCTTTGCTAGTGCATCTTTTAGTAGACATATCAGTTACTGTATTATTTTTATTCAAAATAAACATTCATTTCCATGGCTGGCTAATCAGAAGCGACCCAGATAGTCTGGACCTTGGTATTCATCATAAGGAACATATGCCATAAGCAGAATTCGTCTTGTGGTACATTTTGTATTGTCTGTTATTAACGCATTAGTTTTAAAAAATTGTACAAACCTTAAATGAAAACAGAACCTTGATGTCAGTAAGATCGTTCACTTTGTCATTAATCTGACGTATCTCCGCCGTCTCGTCCCTTCCCTTCTCGGGAGGCATATAGATGTCCACTCTATACAGGTGGGCGTCTCGGTCATCACCGAGAACCGACAGTGGGAGGCACAAGAGACAAACGAAGAGAAGCATCATCGCAAGTCGTTATCTGCAGCACAGATATAGTTTGGCATGAAATGCATGTGGACCCGGTTTTTGTAAATATCTCTTCATCCAATGAACCAATCGATCTCAGACTGTGCAAGTGGATGTTTTGTCAGACAACCTAATCTCATTGTAAATCACCGATTTTATGCATTGTATTAAAGAATCTGTCTGTGTAACTGTCAACAAAATGAACAGCAGAACGCAGACGGCTTGCAGAGGGAGGGAGCCAATGACCTGTAACAGCGGCAGTGTTGGGTCATAAAGGTCAACGTTCGTCAATGTAGGTCAGCTATGCTGATGACCCTGATGTCAAAAGAATCTAACTTTGGATGCCTACCTTTTTGTACAAGGTTTTATTTATTGGTTGTTGGTTTATTTTTCACAATTTTTAACACGATGTTCTTTTTCATGCCAAGAGCAAAAGTTGTACGTTTCATGTAATCCGACACCTTATAAATCGGTTTGCTACGTTTGCTCTCTTTTTAAAAAAAAAATCAACACATTTCTAGTTAAACGTTTAGCATCATCTGCATAAGCTTTCATGATGACAGCTAGAAGTAGTCAATGTGAATGATCCAAACGGTCTATCATTGTGCAGTGCACAGGTAACTATCATGAACTGCACGTGCATTTACCTTTATGTCCCAACACTGCCGCTGTTACAGGTCATTGGCTCCCTCCCTCTGCAAGCCGTCTGCGTTCTGCTGTTTATTTTTTGACAGTTACATAGACAGATTCTTTAATACAAATGCATAAAATCGGTGATTTACAATGTGATTAGGTTGTCTGACAAAACATCCACTTGCACAGTTTGAGATCGATTGGGTCATTGGATGAAGAGATATTTACAAAAAACCGGGTCCACAAGCATTTCATGCCAAACTATGCATAGTTCCGACCGATCGCCCGTCAACCAATCAGATCGCGTCTTTCCGTCACCGCGGGATAGCTTGTTGCTAAGGCGCCATTAGGTCCCCCAAGCTTTCAGTTGTCAGGACATTTGACCCTGCAGAGTAGCTTGCCGTTTTTAGTGATAATGGGGAAACGCTGTGCATGGGGGACTTGCGATTCTGATGAGAGATATCCTGAGAGGCTTGGGAATGCACTTTTCATTCCTTTTCCAAAACTCAAGTTCCGTTTGGAAACGTGTTTGCGATGGATTCGGGCTTGTGGAAGACCCCATCATCAGCTGAATAACAACATCAACAAACACAAATACGTGTGTTCAAAGGTACATTTAATTATTGATTCATTAACCTGTGAAATAATTGTCAAAAGGGGAAGATTTCAGTGAGGTTATCTGTCCACTGGAATTATATTACGTATACTGGAATTATCTATTATGATACGTGCATACAATAGATCTAGTACATATCTAGGCCGACTGCGTAGTGTAAATATTTATTATTATTTTTATAAAAAAAATTATCATAATATTAACCCGCAGTGAAGTAATACTGAACTCAGTAGGGCTCTTCACAATGACTTCATATAATCAATAATAAAAATGCCCAAATTGTCAGATTGTGGTACTGCCAGTAGATATTGTGATTTCATATTATCAAAAATCAATTTTGGACTTTGCTCACTTAAAATATATGTGATTAGTGTTAGAATTTCTGAAGAATTTGATAATCAATGTACTGTTTTGACAGCATTTCAAGACCAACAGCAGAGTTCCCATACCCTATTGCAATCGGGGGAAAATGTGACACCAACCCGGCCACCACCAAAAGAGAGGATCCGTCTGGATACCTGTGATTTATCTCCAAGGTATATTTTTCTAAAAAAAGAAGGATACCTGTGATTCATCTCTAAAGAAAGAAGTGTATGTAACAGTTTAACATTTCAAGAATACAATGCCAATTAAGAGTTGTTTTGATGTTTTTTGTGCTCATATTGCAAACTTTACTATAATTATTTAAAAAAGATTTAATGTTAATGTGACAAACATCAGTATGTAAGAAACAACACAACAAAAGAATAGTACCTCATCTATTTTTATTTTGTCCTCACTTGTCAGTGTATGATGACTTTACTTAATCCCAAAATTTGGACAATGAAGAAAAATTATCAACTTATTTCATGCATCCCCAAAACGTATAACCATGTTTTTATAAAACAAGAGCGATAACAACATATAAATATAAAGCATAAAAATAACAACACAAAACTTAATTATAAGTACACCTGAAATGGTTGACCTCAAAGTTGTGTAATTATGATAAATTATTAAATAATTTGATGCATGTAAAAACAATTGATCTGTAACAAATTATACAGAAACAAGTGTGATAACAAAATATACCTGTAAATAAAACTAACAAATCTAAAATAACAAAACAAGAGGATTAAACCATTGTGTAAGATGAATAATCTGTCCAAAATAAATGCGATCTATACATGGAGATGAATATATAGAAAATATATGAATATAAAGAAAATAATACTGAAAATTATATCAAAGTAAAGTGACAACAGGCTATAAGGGTAAATTACTTACTCATAAATTTACCTAATTTAGATTTACAAAAATATGATATTACAATATTGCCACATATTTACTACAAATAACTATTTTTCTAAAAAAAATGTTATTTCAGACAACTGTTTGAAACAAACAGAGAAATATCCCCCAGGAAGTGTCTGTTGAAGAGAATCAAGGTACACAGACTGGTGAATCATGTAAGTATAACATGGAAAAGCTCAGTTGGGGGCAGTCAATGATGGCACTTAAGGCAAAATCTTAATTGGATATTTTTCAGCTGAAGCTGATAGTATTAGCAAATCAAAACCATTAGACCATTATAATCAATTTAAAACATTTTGAAGTTATATAGCTAATTTCAAAATCTTTCATAACAAGATGGAGACATTGTTTTTCCTGAAATAGGATAGTGAACAACGAATATCCAAAAGCACTTGTTAGTTAACACCATCAATTATTGTACAATTTACATGTCAAGAAATGGCTTTGCATGTTCTTTAAAGAATACTTTTCCAGCATACATGTCATGTATTCAATGTCTGGGAAAATACGCTCAATGTACGCTCTATTTTTTGGGGTAAACCACATATTCATAGAATTCAGCCCCGGTTATCATTAACTGTGCCTGAAATTGGGCATAATGAGCATGTCTTTTGGATAGTTTGAGAATGGCAATTTCCTCCTCCTGCAAAAATAAATTTGTTATCTTTTCCTATGCTTCTTCAAGTGTAAAGTGTCGAGCTGAGTTTGGGCATTTAATTTCAATAATTCTGTTCTCCTTTTCACGACAACATATCTTGCCATCAGGAGTGGCTCCAAAGAAACTGAAATTATTGTTGATTACTAGTCCACTCTCATGTAGATGGTTTGAGATTTTGTGTTCTAAATATCTTTTCTTGGCCTGTACTTCAATGTTCTTCCCATAGGAAAGAGATACTGAATGCATAGAAGTCTTGGGAAATAGACTGTTGAGAAAAGATAGTGTAGGTTTCTTCTTTCTGTTCATAACCTTTCCAAATGTGGAAGCTGTAAGGCGATTAGATCTTAGATCTTTTCCAGGATCTGTAAGTTGATACTGGGCATTAAGATCTTCATACCCAGGAGCGAGTTGTACAGGTGACACTTTCGGAAACTTGATGAACGTAGTTGATACTGCACGTGATTTTCAGTCTGAAAATAAGAAATTAAATCATTGGAAATAATAACTTTAAGCCCGGACACATTATTTTATATATTTCATTCGAAATTACAAATTTGCCTGTTATTTTTCAGTCATCACTCCACTTGAGCAACACCAGACAGTCCAAATTCAGAATCTGAGATCCTAGGTAGAAGATCAAGGGCAACAGATCAAGGATATGAAGAAAATTTTAAGGAAAAAAGGAAAAAGACAAGGGAATTGTAAAGTTGAGGGAGGAACTTAAGAAATGTCAAAGATTTAATGTGACCAGTATCTTAGTTAGATCAGGGAAACTAAAGGGCCTGTTTAAATACTACACAGGCATTACTTATGTCAGGTTTCTTGCCATATTCAGTTATTGGCCTTCCTTCTGCCAGGTGATCAGGCATCATGTTTGAATTATGAAAAAGGTCATCGTGACATTAGAAAGTTATCTACTAAAGATTGCTTGTTCCTGACTATGTTGACTGTGCCAGAGTTTGGGATAAAAAGACCTCAGTATGCGTTTTGGACTGTCATTGCAATCAGGTGGTGTAATATTCAATACCTGGATTGAACACGTGAACTTGAAAATTGGCCAGTAAAGTATATGGCCACATAAAAGTATAATCCTTCAAATTATGCCTGCAAAATTTAGAAAGGAATATGCTTCATCCATGATGATTATTGATGGGACAGAACTGAAGACTCAAGTACCCTGTGCTTTAGGGTTACAGTCTCAGCTATACAGTGACTATAAGTCAAGTACTACCTTAAAGTGTCTTGTATGTTGTGCCCCTTGTGGTTCATTGACATTTGTTTCTGAATTGTTTACAGGTTCAATTTCAGATAAAGCTTTAACTGATCAATCAGGATTTTATGATGCTGTACGAGGCAGGTACAAGAATAGATCGATGTTGTTGCATCCTGTGATATGAATGTGATACTAGTCTCTATGAAATAAACATAATTTCATTTACATGAAATGTTAGTCTTGTTACTTAAAAATGATGTACTGAGTGTTATGTTTTGACTGTTTTGAAGAACAGGATCCATGTCTCAATAGATTAAAACATTACCTGATATGACAAGACTGATCCCAAGCTAGACGTCTCCGAGCAGAGTGTTTAGTCACCGGGGTGCATCTGTCTGTAGCACATACTGCAGTGGGGTAATATGTGGAAGTCTGCAACAATATTCATCTACATTATATTCATTTGACACACAGTTTCTGAAAATTAAAAAAAAAATATCCTTAGTTCAATGCGTATACTCTTTATAGACCATAAGGACCAACTTTAAACCTGCACCTGTTTTAGTGATTATTTGCAAAACCGTTTTCACCA